GTTGTTTCAACCGGACCGGTTATATGACCGGTTTACCGGTTCCTGGGTCGGTCCGGTTTTAATAACTATGATTTAAATGGCTTTAAATGATCATATAGTATTATTGTTGTAAATTTGAATTGTCTTTGTGAGAGATAAAATATGTCAAATGAAATATCATTGCGTAGATCTTGAAAAGTCATATGGAATAAAAAAAATTACCTAGTTTTGATATCCGAGTCAAAAGTTATGACTTTTTGAAATTTTATGGTTAAATTGTTAATTTTTTATGCCACATACCAATACTAAACGAGTCACATTTAAATTAGATGTGAATGCTTTGTGAGGTAAATAAGTGCAGTGTATTCGTAATTAGATTCAAAAGAGTAACTTATTGATAATTATTTATTAAAAAGTAATATTTTAATTTATTTTTTTTGCCTAGAAGTGAGAGATGGATTAAAATTTGAATATCAAGCAAGATACTACTTAAGGGTAGTATGATTACCATGTACTATCACCCGACGGGTTGGTCCGTTCAACCTCATGGCGAAATACGTTTAAAGTATGGGTAAATCATTTTCTATCCTCCTCACTTGATAAATTATTATTTTTACTATTTTGGTAAAAAAAAATCCCTTATTTCAAATACTTTATTTTTAAAGGTAACCTGCAGTTTAAACTTAGAGTTTACTTAAGAGTTTGAGAAATAGATACGGAAGAGGGACAAAATTCATTTGGTGGTCCCTAAAATGTTTGCAGTTTATTTCTTTTGTATTATAAATATAACTATAGTTGGTAAATAATAAATATAATGCCAAACGTAGGTAGAGTTGGTAGATAAAGATTGGAGCACTTTCTTCAAAAGAATTATGCTTGATTACTAGTTTGCAGTGTCAATCGTTTTTCTTGATAAGTGGTTTGTGGATATTATTATTTGTCTTCGTCAAGACTTGGAATATGGTGTAACTTTGCAATTAAAAAAAAATGTTCATATATCATAATAGGAGTGGATTCTTTCATGTAAAAAATAATTAAATAACATAATCACGATCACTTTTTCACATAAGAAAATCCACCCACTCACCCGCTCTTTTATATATGTTTATTGCGCAAAGATTTGGTCTCTTATATGAGTAAATAAAAACTAGTGAAATATAGTTGCTTGAAGCAATAGCTTATCACTATAGAAGATGACATCATTATTATGTACAATTATTTGAATAATTAATAAAAAAAAACACAAGAGTTAAGAGAGAGAAGGAGAACAAACACACTCTTCTCCAATAAACCCTTTTAAATTGTTAACAATTGGAATGCGTACCACGGGACAATAAATTATGTGACACAGATTTATGATTATGAGGATTTGAATTATTACAGGATAATCAACGTTATAGTCAACTCCAGAATCTGAGATCCAACCTTGATCGTGTTCTCTTCTTCTTCTTCTTCTTCTTCTTTTTCTTCTTGTTGCTGTTCCAGTGACTACACAAAAATGGCTTCAGGTATTTTTCAGGTTGGAGGTTCTCATTCCCAACCGTTGCAACAGCATTCATTTTCCCGCCAAAAGCTTCTGCCTCTGACTTCGACGCTGAAATTGAAAACCCGACCCTTTCAGTTTCATTTATCCAACCGATCTTCTTCTTCTTCTGGTTCGTTGGTTGCATCGGCAATCTTACCCAACTTGAACTTGAATGTCCCTCTCATTTCTCCTCACGACGCATGGGGCAACTGGACCGCTCTCTTCGCCGCCGCTGCTTTTGGAATCTGGTACCTGTTCCCTTTTCCTCTGCTTTTCACTTTTTTTTCTCTTCACTTTTTACTTATTTGTTAACAAAATTAATTGCGTTGAGTTTTGTTTTATGGGATTGGATGTATTATTATTGCAAGGTCAGAAAGAACCAAGATTGGAAGCACGTTGAGTGGTACTCTTGTGAGCGTTTTGGTGGGACTTGCAGCAAGTAATTTGGGGATTGTTTCCGTTGAAGCTGGCGCCTACGATGTTGTTATGCGCTTTCTGCTCCCTCTCGCTGTTCCCTTGCTTCTCTTCAGGGCTGACTTGCGCCGCGTCATCAAATCTACTGGCACACTTCTCTTGGCTTTCTTGTTGGGTTCATGTAACACTTCTCTTGCCTTTCAACTCTTTTAATTTGTAATGTTAACTTAATAATAGTCCAATGATGATTGAATTTGGATCATGAGGGAAGAAATGTATTGTTTATGAAGGGATCATTAAATTTAAACAAATATAGTTCTGATCTCTAAGTTGCTAGATCCTGTTACATCTCATGCCAATTCATCTTCGGATGCAAGTTACAAATGCTACTTTCGAAAGTAATCTGTCAGAGTTTTATTGTTCATTTTCTCTGTTTTTTCAGATTATAGTGACCTTTTTTTTTTCCTGCATTTTCATGACAGTTGCAACTATAGTTGGAACAGTAGTAGCATATCTACTTGTTCCAATGCGATCACTTGGTCAGGATAGTTGGAAGATAGCAGCTGCTCTCATGGGAAGACATATTGGTGGAGGTAACTCTCTTTTACTTCTTACAGCTCTTTATTAATATTGCTGGAAATATTTGTTTCTTCAAGTCAGACACGGTTTTACTTTGATAAAATTTCTCCCCACTTATTGTGCAGCTGTCAACTACGTTGCCATATCTGATGCCCTTGGTGTTTCCCCGTCAATTTTTACTGCCGGCTTAGCTGCGGATAATGTTATTTGTACAGTGTATTTTTCAACATTGTTTGTTTTGGGGTCTATAGTGCCTCCAGAGGCCTCAACATCAGTAAACGGTAGCTAAAGTTCTATTTTGATTATAATATGAATAGTTAGCACATATATTATTACGTGACTTGAAATATAAACTTACTGTTGTGAAGCATTTATTGTTTTGCAATGCTTCTATGCTACAAGATATGGCAGCAAGAATTGAATGATGTGCATCTGTGTTTCACAGATTACACCTGACTGTGAATTTTATTTTATCTTTTGTCAGATGATGGAATGACTACCACATCTGAGTCTGGTAGCAAACTTCCAATGCTACCTATGGCTACTTCTCTTGCTGTGGCCTTTGCCATCTGCAAGGTTGCCACCTTTCTTACAGGGTATTTTGGAATCCAAGGGGGCACCCTGCCTATGGTAACAGCAATTGCCGTAATTTTGGCAACTGTATTTCCCAAACCATTTGCTTCTCTTGCACCCTCTGGTGAGGCTATGGCCCTTATTCTCATGCAGGTTGGTTGGTATTCATCATAGGCAGGCTTTTTCCCTTACTATTAAGACTGTAAGAGGAAATAAGTTTTTGTGTATTCACCAAAGATAAGAAAGATACAAAAAAGAAAAAGCACGAAATTTAAGTAATTTGAGATGTTCTTTTTTCTTTTAAGAAAATTAGAGAAGGGTGTGATGTGAATGTGTGATTATAGTGGGGAAGTGAATAGAAAAAATAAAGGATATTAACAATGAGAATAAAGGAGGCGCTAGGGGAGAAAATGGTGGAGGCAGTTATTAAAAAATATTAAAGTATTTTATTTAACATTTTGAATTACAATAAAAACCTTGTAAATCTAAGTAAGGATATTTATGGATTATTTGAGACAAATTATTTAGATTAAAAACAACGTCTAGTTCTGGACACAGTATTGTTTCCCTCTTCATTTTGTTTTTTGAAATCTTAACTACCATTGCCCCATGGTCAAGTAACAAACCAGATATGTATCCGATAAATACATAAAATGACAAGTTTATGGTTTTTGCCTCTTGTGAGGAATAGGTATTCTTTGCGGTGATAGGTGCAAGTGGGAGCATATGGAGTGTCATCAACACAGCACCTAGTATTTTTCTATTTGCTTTTGTTCAGATAGCAGTCCATCTTGCTATAATCCTTGGACTGGGAAGACTTTTTCGCTTTGACTTGAAGCTGTTGCTTATTGCATCAAATGCTAATATTGGAGGCCCAACAACGGCATGTGGAATGGCAACTGCAAAAGGATGGAGCTCTCTAATTGTGCCTGGCATTCTTGCTGGTATATTTGGAATTTCTATGGCCACTTTTCTCGGCATTGGATTTGGTCTGACAGTCTTAAAACACATGTAAAATTCCCAAGTTCTTTATATGCAAACATTCCATGTAATCGAAGATCTTCTCCCTTTTCTTGTTTTAGACAAGTTTGTTGTAGTGTTTTACTACAACATGCTAGAATAATCTGAGACTGAATTGAATATTGAAACCAGTTTTTTTAAGTATGGACATTACCCACATAACTTCATCAACTAATAGAAGGAGCTCCATGCCTTGTATTTTTGGGAATCTTGGAGATGAGAGTCAGGCTTCCATTTTTTAAAACAGTGTTGAGTAGGCTAAACTAACCTTCGCGGGGATTTAGAACAAGCAACGAAGCCTGAATGAGGTCTGACTATGTGTTAGCCGCAAATCTAAATGCAGTGCTCAAGAGGCTAAACCAATTTTGTTGGGGATTTTGCACCACATAAACAAAACTCACAAATACGACCATTGAAACAATTTTTAATAATAGTAATGATCAACAAATTAAAGTAAATTAATAACGATATAAGTTTGTTTCAAAAAAAAAAAAAAAAACGATACAAGTTAGTCCATATAAAATAAAATTCTAATAATCTCCCACTTGGATTACCTATATCAGAGTTATAAAAGAAATCTCCGTGGCAACATGAATGTTAATGCTTAATAGGGAGACAAGTAATCTTAGCTATAGCAAACTTTAATTCCAAAATCAGATTATGAGTGCCCAACAACGTAGAAATTGAATCCGATAGAGATATACTAATATCAAACTTGTCAAAGCACTTACAAACTCCTGATTCAAGTAATTATGGAAATATGAGATAAAAATATACAAAAAATAGTAAGATTATCTGCAATTCTCCAAGACGCTTTCAGAAAAATTGAACCCAAACATAGTCAAATAAGCCTGTATCGAGAGCAGTTCCAAGGCAAGCATCAGGAAAAACACATTGTGGAGCAGCAGTTAAGTATACTTTCTTGCTGTAGCAAAGGTTCCTTGCAAGCTCATCCCAGTACTGAACCTGTCCACCCTCGATGACGAAATCAATTCCATCCAAGACAGCATCCCCAAGTGGTCGGGAAGAGGATTGTCCACCCAAGAAGTTGTTTCACCCAAAAAGGGCAGGCTGGTTACAATGCCTTTTTTATCTTTGGTAAGATTCAAGAAGAAACTCTAGTCATCTATATTCGAATGTAAAATACAGGTCCCTCCTTCTAGCATTAAAAAAAAATAAAAAATAAATATACTCCCCGTTAAACCCGACTAGCAAGTGTGGAGTGGAGGAAATCCTTGTACGCAATCTTACCTAGGGGTGTTAACGGGCCGAGCCGAGCCGAACTTTGGTCTTAAAAGGCTAAGCCTGTGTTTAAATGTGTCAGCCTGACCAAGCCTGTTACCTATTATAAATATAACTATCGGCCTGCGGCCTGACTTATTTACAACAAATAAAAGCCTTGTTTAGCCTGTTTAAAAAAATAAGACAACAAAAATTTATCCAAACAGAATATACAATCAACAACCCTAGTAATTCCATAAATATTCATAAATTCAATTTATATCTAAACAACATAATATAGAACAAAATCATTCAAAAAGTGTGTTTAACCAATAAAATAGGGTGAAATGGATTAAGGAGAAAGAGATGGCTATTACAAGTAGTATAAAAAATATAAAATATAAATAAAAAATAATATACTAGGCCAGCCTGAGAGGCTTTAAGGCCGAGCTTTTGAATTGGAACCTGAGGCCATTTTATTAAACGAGCTTTTATAAAAGTCTAATCCTGTGCCAACAACCAATTTTAGACATGTAAGCTCAAGCTTTCACAATTCGAGCCAAAGGCCCCTGGTTTGTTTAGCACCCCTAAATTCTTACCCTTGCATAGTTGCAAAGAGGCTGTTTTCTGAATTCGAACCCATGACCTTTCAGTCATGAAAGAACAGTTTTACCACTGCTTCGGTTTGCCTCCTTCCTTCTAAATATAATGTTTTGAAGTTCCACCAAAGTTGTGAGCGTCTTCACCACTTTTGTTTGTGGAAGATGAAGCTCTTTCATCAACTAGCTTAACATGTTGTCATTTAAACCAACGACAGCTAACTTTTTGTAAACTTCAATAGCTGCAGCCCAACAAATCTAAGGTTTTCACGTTCAAAGCATTATATTTAGATTAATGCTAGAAGGAGCGAGCTATGTTTTACATTCGAATATAGATGACTAGAGTTTATTTCCTAAACTTACTAAAGATAAAGGGCATTGTAACTAGCCCGCCCTTTTTCCTTCTAGCATTATTGTTATTCCGCGCTATCTTTGCAAAGGCCTATTAGTTTATAGTAGATTTTGGAATGCAGTATCATGTAAGAGAAAATAATTAGCTGAAAAGGGAAGTGGGGAAGAATAAAGTCACTAACACTCACTCACGTAGAAGCAAATCTTTGGTACTATTGATAAGGTCCAAAAGTCTTTCACTGGGAAAATGATTTGTTTAACTCAATCTGTCTTGCAAGCTCATCCCAGTACTGAACCTGTCCACCCTCGATGACGAAATCAATTCCACCCAAGACAGCATTCCCAAGTGGTCGGGAAGAGGATTGTCCACCCAAGAAGTTGTTTCACCCAAAAAGGGCAGGCTGGTTACAATGCCTTTTTTTATCTTTGGTAAGTTTCAAGAAGAAACTCTAGTCATCTATATTGGAATGTAAAATACAGCTCCCTCCTTCTAGCATTAAAAAAAAATAAAAAATAAATATACTCCCCGTGAAACCCGACTAACAAGTGTGGAGTGGAGGAAATCCTTGTACGCAATCTTACCCTTGCATAGTTGCAAAGAGGCTGTTTCCTGAATTCGAACTTATGACCTTTCAGTCATGAAGGAACAATTTTACCACTGCTTCGCTTCGCCCCTTCCTTCTAAATATAATGTTTTGAAGTTCCACCAAAGTTGTGAGTGTCTTCACCACTTTTGTTTGTGGAAGATGAAGCTCTTCCATCAAGTAGCTTAACATGTTGTCATTTAAACCAACGACAGCTAACTTTTTGCAAACTTCAATAGCTGCAGCCCAACAAATCTAAGGTTTTCACGTTCAAAGCATTATATTTAGATTAATGCTAGAAGGAGCGAACTATGTTTTACATTCGAATATAGATGACTAGAGTTTATTTCCGAAACTTAGCAAAGATAAAGGACATTGTAACTAGCCCGCCCTTTTTCCTTCTAGCATTATTGTTATTCCGCTCCATCTTTGCAAAGGCCTATTAGTTTATAGTAGATTTTGGAATGCAGTATCATGTAAGAGAAAATAATTAGCAGAAAAGGGAAGTGGGGAAGAATAAAGTCACTAACACTCACTCACGTAGAAGCAAATCTTTGGTACTATTGATAAGGTCTAAAGTCTTTCATTGGGAAAATGATTTGTTTAACTCAATCTGTCTTGCATTGCATGTAATTTTGTTCAGATTAAGAATTTTTTATTTTTTTCACCATGCCGGCGAAGTTTTTCATACATAATAAAGAACAACTGCAAACTCGCTAGCCCATTAGTATAATAAGGAAATCATCTCATGAAATGAACAGCTTCTTTAGACAGTTTCCCATTGGTTGAAATTTATAAGCATCGATCTTTTGAAATTCAGATAAGACATGGCCACGCTAGCCCCCGGCTCCACCTCTGCCTCCAACCTAACTTCTTTTGAAAATTCACTGTTGTGCTGTACCGCTACAGCATTTTCAAGGGTTATTTGATAACTATGATTTCTTTCCATGACTACTTCCTTGAAACCTTCATTTGTTATAGAAAGCTAAGCACTTTTTCTATTGGAACTTTAAATTTAGGAGTGATTGGGTTAAGGACCTTCCTCAGTCAATTGAAGTAGCATATCCAACCCCTTTTGTGGGAGAAAATAGTTAAAATGTCAAATAGCTTGTGGATATTCTTCCAAAGTTTTCATCTGATACATATTTGATGAGAAGTTATGAATGGATCAGATTGATCAATTCTTAGATTTTGTTACGGTGCTTCTACCCAGAGTGAAGTCTCCCCATTTGGTCACTGCTTAGAATAATTTTGGCATTACGGGGCAATGTTTTGCTTCATCAAGCACATGATGGAAAAAAATAAAGGAAAATAACTTGATCATTTTTCGTTGTTGACTTAAAATGGGATGAGATAATTGTTGAGATATATAGTCCCACAAGGGGCGTGCTAAGATATATAATCTCACATTGATTGTATGTGCAACTAATGTGGAGTTTACAAGACCTTGGACACTCCCACCCTTTGAACTAGCTTTTGGAGTGGTGTATCTCAAGGTTCTTTACATGGTATCAGAGCCTCGCCCCCCCCACTTTCTCTTGTGGAATTTCTTAGCACAGGTAGGTTGGGCCTGTTGCATCATCCACTCTTCAAGCCCAATGGGCTCTTGTGTGAGGGGGCGTGTTGAGATATATAGTCCCACATTGGGGCGTGTTGAGATATATAGTCTCACATTGGTTGTATGTGCAACTAATGTGAAGTTTATAAGGCCTTGGACACCCCACCCTTTGAGCTAGCTTTTGGGGTGATGTATCCCAAGGTTCTTTAAAATAATCTTAATGTAAAGCTAGAGAAGGTAAATAGAAAACGTGTCGCGGGATTAAAAAAAAACCAAAAAAGTAAAAATAATAATAATTATATATGAATAACATGAGAGAGAGAGAGAGATGGTTTTTGTAACGCCTGGCAACTTGCAAGGATCAACGACTGTCCCCACACACTAACACGAGACTTTTTAACGTGTTTTGTCCTACCTCGCACACTTCCCGGGAAAACTTCCCAGAAGGTCACCCATCCCAGAATTGCCCCAGGTCAAGCACGCTTAACTATGGAGTTCTTCCGATCCGGGCTACCGAAAAGTAGATGCATCTTGTTAGTATAGGTAGTACCAATTAATTCTTATAAGCTATTCCCAACTGTACCGTCCCACATGCCCACCAGCTTCCGCTTGGTTTGTCCTCGAACCACACCATACTGGAAGAAAGGCTCTCCTCTGATACCACTGTAACGCCTGGCAACTTGCAAGGATCAACGACTGTCCCCACACACTAACACGAGACTTTTCAGCGTGTTTTGTCCTCACTCGCACACTTCCCGGGAAAACTTCCCAGGAGGTCACCCATCCCAGAATTGCCCCAGGTCAAGCACGTTTAACTATGGAGTTCTTCCGTTCCGGGTTACCGAAAAGTAGATGCATCTTGTTAGTATAGGTAGTACCAATTAATTCTTATAAGTTATTCCCAACTGTACCGTCCCATACCAACACAGTCTCTGGGATCCCTCTCTTTCGGGTGTTGATTCGATTCATTCAGTACCCCTTTCGCTGGAAGCCTGCAAGGAGCCGCTCCTTTGTCCATGCCCTTTCGCACCGGCGATCACTCCCCGCCCTCGTCAGCGCCCAGGATGTTACATGCCCACCAGCTTCCGCCTGGTTCGTCCTCGAACTACACCGTACTGGAAGAGAGGCCCTGCTCTGATACCACTGTAACGCCTGGCAACTTGCAAGGATCAACGACTGTCCCCACACACTAACACGAGACTTTTCAGCGTGTTTTGTCCTCCCTCGCACACTTCCCGGGAAAACTTCTCAGGAAGTCACCCATCCAAGAATTGCCCCAGGTCAAGCACGCTTAACTATAGAGTTCTTCCGTTCCGGGCTACCGAAAAGTAGATACATCTTGTTAGTATAGGTAGTACCAATTAATTCTTATAAGTTATTCTCAACTGTACCGTCTCATACCAGTACAGTCTCTGGAATCTCTCTCTTTCGGGTGTTGATTCGATTCATTCATGTACCCCTGTCGCTGGAAGCCTACCAAGAGCCGCTCCTTTGTCCATGTCCTTTCGCACCGGCGATCACTCCCCGCCCTCGTCAGCGCGCAGGATGTTTCAGTTTTAAATTACATACCCCAATTGCAGTTGCAGCCTGCAATAGGACCTTCGGATTAACTTTTACCGTTTACTCTTACAGCAAGGTATAGAGAATATAATAAATCAGAATTTACTAAGGGCCACACCTTCAAACCTTCAAAGCTAAAGATAGAAACTACGGGATAGCAAATCAATAATTTCATTGTATACACTGAATATTATCTCCAAGAAACTTGAATAAACAAATGAAATTAATACCGTAAAGAGTGATGCAAGCCAATCTTTTTTCAAGTCTTTGGACCGGTCACCTTTAAATTCACCAAATCTTCTGACAATTTATCTTCGTTGAACTCAGAACCATTAGTTTCTGATGAAATACATCCATGACCAGAACACAAAAATCTCCATTTCTAGAATGGAGAAATTATTCAGGTCAGAATAATAATAATAATAATAATAATAATAATAATAATAATAAAGAAAACTAAGTAAACCCTGCAAACCAACTACCCATTTCACAAATCAATCCAACCATTAAACGAAATCTCTTAATAATAATTAAAAAAAAAACTCACAATCCAATTAAGTAATTAGATAAAATTTTAATCTAATTAAATTCAACAAAAACAATACTTTAGTTTACAAATTTTGTCAAAAAGCAAACTTGAACAAATGGGCAGGCAAGAGCTTACGTTTGTACGAAAGGTGAATGGTTGGAATGGAATGCGTGAAGAGATTGGATTGAAAAGGGAAACCCTAGAGTTGTGGCGAAGAGAGAGAAAGGGAAGGGAAGGGAAGAAATGTTGTTGGACATGACATAGCTGCAACACCAACACCAACATCAACACGGGATTATATTAGGTGGAATCCGGTGATTGATGAATAGGGTTCCATTCATTACGCAAAACAGACACACACAACAATCGCAGTTCGCAGTGACCACAGCATGCTATGTTATCTTCCACCAAAGAAACCAAAACAAGGCACTGAAGGCAGACCCACAGTCCACGCAAGTGGGGTGACAGGTGCTGCTAATCTTATCATATTACTGCAAATTGCTCTCCTCATGTCGCTCTCATTTCGATTTCCGCGCCATTTCTTTTTTTTCTTTTTTAACAAAGTGAGTCTTACCATCTTTCTCTCTCAGCTGCAAAATCTAAACTTGGAAGTTAAAACCCATCACATTAATGCCTAAACCGTCAATTAACCTCACCTTAGTAATAATTTCCTAATAATTTATTGCTTCACCATATAATTATACTATTGATTCTCCTCTTTTCATATATGTTTAAATTATAGGAAAATGATATTATTATTATCCCTATTTTTAATATCTATTTTAGCTATCTATTTTCAATATTATTATATCAAAATTTTAATTAATTTTTATTTTTATTTTCTTCTATTGAGATTCTCATGTTACATAGGAGATACACTATACATGGGGAAAAAAAATAGGTCTAATATTCTATCATTAACTTATATTGTTTTTTATTTATTAAAATTATACTCTTGAGATCCTAAGGTTGTAGGAAATAAATTGTACCTTTTAAACAAGCATAAAAGTGTGTGGGATTCATATGAGACAATATAAAAACAAGAGAGAGAAAAAAACATGAGCCTCACACTTTTATGTATGTATATGAGATAAAATTATCTAATTTAATATGAGAATTATTAATCCCTAAAATAAAATATATTACAGTTAGATCATTTTAATGTAAATAAATGTTTTGATGGTGATGAGAAATTATGAATGGTCTTTAGTTACTTTTAAACACCACTTAACAATTTTAAGATCTTCCAAGTCGATTAAGCTCTACAATTGATTTGGTAGTTAATGTTAAAAAGTTTATGTTTGATGACATAACTTAATCTCATTTTTAATGAAATTATATTATTTTAACGTATATTTGTTAGTTTTTAATTAGGAAAAAAGAGAAAATATAAAAACTAACAAAATAAATATTAAAATAACGTAATTTCATTAAAAATGACATAAAAGTATTTTATTTAAAATGATAAATACCTTAAACATATAATTTTAACATAACACACATTTTTATATGTATTTAATATTAAATGAAATGCTTATAATAAAAGATGCTCTAAAATTGAGATAAATACACTATAAAAAATAATAAATAAAACAATGAATGCAATGATAAGAAAGTACGGTAGGAAGAATGGGCAAGCGACGAAGACTTTTGAAATTGAGCATCGATCTATTTGAGCTTGAAATTTGGTTACAATGTCCCGACTAAGTTTCGGCTCTCCTCCGGAATTCCGTATACAGTCAAATGGGGCCAAAAGTTTTGAGTTGGACAATTAGGTATTATTTTATTTAATACTTTTTAACTATATTATTTTTATGACTTTAATATTTCTGGCATAAAGTGTGTGAATTTTTTTTTTTCTTCTCTTTACATAGGCTTTATATATTTTTATGCGTGTCTAAAAAATTATTTTATTTTTTATATGAGAAACATTATACTCTATTTTTATATGAAAAAAATATTTATCATTTTAAAATATACAATATTATATCATTTTAAGCGAAATCACTATATTTTGATATTTTTTATCTTCTCTTATTTTCCACAATATTGTCACATTTTCTTTCCTCCTAATTTTGTGAAGGAGAAAGTAAATAAAAAATTATCAAATATGCATTAAAACACAATTATTTTACTTAAATATCACAAAATTATGTTTTTTAAAATTACAAACACTTTTTACGTATACAAAAATAATAATTAAGTACTACTAAAATAAAATACTATCCTAAGGCAATAACTATCAATAATTCATTTAAATATTTAATCTAAAAAAACGCTATTTAGCTAGATTTTGTTCATTAAAATATTTGAAAGAATAAGTTAATACATTTATAGTCCTTTCTGATAAATGGGTGATTATCAATTTATTATTCATTTTATCTTATACAATATTCATCATTGAATCTGTCTAAATTCAAATCAAATTTCGACTAAATTTTTTGGTTGCATATCACTATTTCTTTAATATTATTGTCACAATTGAGCCATAGCTAGCTAGATGCTCCAAAGTCACCATAATGTGGCAAGCACCACCCCCTTTTTCAAAGTGTGATCTGTGGACAAAACAAAACATTCATCCTCATCTTTGATGCAAATTATTATTAGTTGCAACAACTACGTGTCAATATTGTCAAGCCTTAGCTCTTTCGGCCACTCACAGACCTGAAGTCACATATGAAAACCACAAAAAAGAAATGAAGCCATGCCATCATGTATAATAATCATATCCTCATAGCCGACCACACATGAAGCAAGCTTTTTCAAAGTTGTAGTTCACCAACCACTAACCACGTGTTCAATTTATGTGTTTCTCTTCTCAAAATAGAACACTACACTCTCCTTATGTTGTCACCATATAATAACACTATGCCAAACCATTATGTAAGCTTCGTTTTTTCAGTAATATATAGTCAATACTCAATACAATCCATGCAAGTGTAGCTTGTCATGGCAAGTGTTTCATCTCCCTTTACTTGTTTTTGGGTCACTCTTACTATGGTCCTGGGTTGTTTCAGTAGCTGCATTTCGAGCCAGATTGATTTGGGCTCGAGATTATTGGCTAGCAAGGACCAAACATGGGTTTCAGATAATGGAACATTTGCTTTGGGGTTCACTCCAGCAGAGTCTGATAATCGATTATTTAATCTGGGAATTTGGTTTGCTGAGCTTCCTGGAGATCGAACCTTAGTTTGGTCACCCAATAGGTAGTGCTGTGATTAATATCGTTAGTTTTTTTGTACCATCATCCATTTTTTAAATGAACTAATTATTATATGTATGCAATAAATCTTTGTGAAGACTAAAGTTTGCATGTGAAAATGTTTGGAAAATGTGCATTAAAAGAAAATTTGTGTAAAATGAGTAAATAAAGATATATTTATCTTTGATTTAATTTTACTTAATTTAGTGAACATTATAATTTTTTATAGTTTGTTATGATTTAGTTAAGGACAAGTAGTTGTACCCAGTTATATTAAATAGTTTCATGGTTACAGAGAATGTCAATGAAGTGCAGATTAGATGGTTAGTTACTGGTTTCTGACTTAAACAAAGACAAAGTCATAAATCATATCTCCATCTAGTCTATAGTCTTTACAAAAGATTTTGCAGGTTATGAGCATCTCTCTCTCTCTCTATACCATGTTGCCAACATATTTCATTTTCTTTCTCAATCCAAATAGAGACTCCCCAGTATCTCAAGATGCAATCTTGGAGCTTGACACCACTGGCAACCTCGTTCTCATGGATGGAGACACCACCATATGGGCCTCAAACACCTCTGGTGCTGGTGTAGAAGCAGCAGTCATGGCAGAATCTGGAAACTTCATCATCCACAACACCAACAACCACCCTGTGTGGCAGAGTTTTTCTCAACCTTCGGACACACTCCTCCCAAACCAGCCTCTTACAGTTTCTTTAGAGTTAACATCATCAAAGTCTTCCTCTCATGGTGGCTACTATGCTCTCAAAATGCTTCAACAGCCTACTTCCTTAAGCCTTGCACTGACTTACAATCTGCCAGAAACTTACCCGGCTTTAGATGAATCATATACCAACTATTCTTACTGGCAAGGCCCTGATATCTCCAATGTCACAGGAGAAGTTATAGCAGTTTTAGATCAAGCTGGAAGCTTTGGAATTGTATATGGAGAATCATCTGAAGGAGCAGTTTATGTGTATAAGAATGATGATGATGATGCAGGCTTGTCTTCTGCAGTTCACCAATCTACACCATTAGCTGTTCTTCGGAGACTGACACTGGAAAAGAATGGCAATTTGCGTTTGTACCGTTGGGATGATGATGTAAACGGGTCAAGACAGTGGATGCCAGAGTGGGCTGCAGTTTCAAATCCTTGTGATGTTGCTGCAATTTGTGGCAATGGGGTTTGTAACTTGGATAGAAGTAAGACAAAAGCCTCTTGCACTTGCTTGCCAGGGACTTCTAAAGTTGGCAGGGATGGCCAATGCTTTGAGAATTCATCTCTTGTTGGAAAATGCAATGCTAAGCATGAAAACCAGACATCCCAGTTTAGGATTTCAGTGGTGCAGCAAACCAATTATTATTTTTCTGAATTTTCAGTAATAGCTAACTATAGTGATGTTGCCAGTGTATCAAAATGTGGGGATGCTTGCTTATCAGATTGTGATTGTGTTGCTTCTGTTTATGGGCTAAATGAGGAGAGACCATACTGCTGGGTGTTGAGGAGCTTAAATTTTGGTGGTTTTGAGGATACCAGCTCCACTTTGTTTGTGAAGGAAAGAGTAAATAATGGCTCATGGACACCAGAAGGCCAAGTAGGAGGGTCTAATAGCTCTTCTGATGGATTGGGGAGTGCCAAGGAGAAGGCTGTGATTATTCCCATTGTTCTAAGCATGACAGTTCTCATTGCTTTGCTATGTTTATTACTATATTACAGTGTTCACAGAAAAAGAACTTTGAGAAGAGAGATGGAAAGTTCCTTGATATTATCAGGTGCTCCAATGAATTTCACCTTCCGTGATTTGCAAATCAGGACATGCAACTTTTCACAGCTGCTAGGAACAGGTGAGTTTATCCTATATTATATTTTATAGTAAAGGGGAAATTATAGGCAGAGGATTTGAGTTTTGGTTTAGTGTATATTGTTGCTAACTGTTCATATTTTGCAGGTGGATTTGGGAGTGTGTACAAAGGAAGCCTGGGAGATGGTACCTTAGTTGCAGTGAAGAAACTTGAAAGGGTTTTGCCCCACGGAGAGAAAGAATTTATCACTGAAGTAAACACCATTGGCTCAATGCATCATATGAATTTGGTTCGCCTATGCGGCTATTGTTCAGAGGGATCACACCGGTATGCATTGTTTCTTGACCAAAAATTTATGAATTTTTTCTCTTGACATCTTAAAAGTTGGCTATCAAGTAGCATCTTTTGGGGACTGTAACTAGGCACTAGCATTTTTTGTCATCAAGTGGATATTGCTTGAAGTTACATTTAGCTCAATACAAGACCTCAATTTTAAATGGTTAAAGAATTCGTATGTAGCATACACTTTGGCTTAAGCAAATGTTTGTTTTGGCAGGCTTCTGGTTTATGAGTTCATGAAGAATGGGTCCTTGGATAAATGGATCTTCCCTTCATATCAAGGGCGAGATAGAGTACTAGATTGGCCAACTCGTTTTAATATAGCCATAACCACTGCTCAAGGGATTGCATACTTTCATGAGCAGTGCAGAAATCGGATAATACATTGTGACATTAAACCAGAAAATATATTGTTAGATGAAAACTTTTGTCCTAAAGTATCTGATTTTGGACTGGCCAAATTGATGGCAAGGGAGCACTCTCATGTGGTAACAATGGTCAGAGGCACTAGAGGTTATTTGGCACCAGAATGGGTTAGTAATCGCCCTATAACTGTTAAAGCTGATGTTTACAGCTATGGGATGCTTCTTTTAGAGATCATTGGTGGCAGGAGAAATCTTGACATGTCCTTTGATGCAGAGGACTTCTTCTATCCTGGTTGGGCTTACAAGGTATATTTCATATATTAGTTTTATTCATTTTTCTGCCTTTTTATTGATGTGGAATCAACTTTAACATCATCTTTAAGTTTTGGCATAGAACATCCTAATCAATTAATTCAATCAAGATGTTTTTATTTTTCCTATAATATTTGCTTGTTTTTAACTTTAAAAAAATTACATTCTATTCAATATAGAGAAGCAGCTCCAAAAATATAATAAAATAGAACACCACCTTAGAAGTTATTTCTTCACTCCTCCAGGGTACATTTGATATGTGAACTTGAGATATCTTACTGTTTGATAAGTACTGATCATAAAATGTTTGGTAATTATAGGAGTTGACAAATGGATCAACAATCAAAGTTGCAGATAGAAGATTAAATGGGGCAGTTGATGAAGAAGAGCTAATGAGAGCTCTGAAAGTTGCCTTTTGGTGTATCCAAGATGAGGTATTCATTCGACCAACAATGGGGGAAATAGTGAGGATGCTAGAAGGTTCAATGGACATTAATATGCCACCAATGCCGCAAACAGTACTCGAGTTAATTGAGGAAGGCCTAGACCATGTATACAAAGCTATGAAAAGAGAGTATAACCAGTTCAGCTCATTCACCATTAACAGTCATCTTACATCTCATGCCACATGTAGCAATTCCACAATGTCACCAAGATAGCGTGTAAATTGTAACACAGAAAAATTTTGGTCTGACCTTGTCATGTAGTTGTTTGCTGCCACCAGAAGCTTTAGAATTGGTCCTTTTACGTCTTCCAGAAATCATATCATAAGAAAAATAAAATAAAAAACAATCACGGAAGGTTTAGAAGACTTCATATTAGAACTGGCTTGACAATAATGTGTTTTATTTTTACTCAGACAAACAATACACTTGCAGTTGTAGTGAGGATTACATTTATTGAAATTACCAAAGAACATAAAGATCAGCCATTATGGAATTAAACCCGAGATTAGGAGAATTAATGCAAAATTTTGAATGGTTGTTATTTGGTATACATGAAGCCATTATGGTTAGTGCTATGCATGGGTCAGGTCGGGTCAGATTTTTGTCCCGACTCGACCCAACTTGGTTTTATAGGTCAGGTATTTTGACCCGACCAGCTTTGATTTGATCTAAGTCAGGTCTGATGTAACATCCCGAGCGCTGACGAGGGCGGGGAGAGATCGCCGGTGCAAAGAGGCACGGACAAGGAGCGGCTCTTGACAGGCTTCCAGCGGGGGGTTACATGCATGAATGAATCGAATCGACACCCGAAAGAGAGAGATTCCAAAGACTGTGCAGGTATAAGACTGCACAGTTTGAGATAGCTTATAAGAATTAATTGGTACTACCTATGCTAACAAGATGCATTTACTTTTCGTAGTTCGGAACGGAAGAACTCCACAGTTAAGCGTGCTTGACTTGGAGCAATTCTGGGATGGGTGACCTCCTGGAAAGTTTTCCCGGGAAGTATGCGAGTGAAAAAAAAGCACACATTGATTCTTGAAGCGGTCGGGCGTTACATCTGACTTGGTTTGGATTTTTTTGAACTAGTTCAGAACTGGTTCGGATCTGACCTGACTTGGTTTCTGAAATGGGTCAAATATGACCTGACCCGTTTTTGACTTGGTTTCGTCACAAAATTTCGTCGAAATTTCTACGTTGCAAATGACGAAAATTTCGTTACAAAATTATTTTTTCGTCAGAATACTTTTTGTCGAAAAGCAAGGAAATTTTTTCTTTAATGAAAATTTTTACAAAAATAAATTTTCTATCGTAATTTAGTTTTCGTCAAAAGTTTTGACGAAAATGATTTTCTCCATCAAATGTTTTAAACGAAAAAAGATTTTCGTCAAAATTTTTGACGGAATGTTTTTGGTTCAAAATTTCAATGCGAATGTGTTCTGACAAAAATTTCGACGGAAATTGTTTTGAGGGAAATGTTTCATTCGAAACTTTCGACGAAATTTAGATTCTTTAAAGAATTGTGACAGAATATTTTTCCGTCAAAATTTTTTATCGAAATATTTTTTCTCAAAAATTTTTATGAAATTTTTTGACAAAAATGTGTTCCGTTGAAAATTTTGATGGAAATGTTTTTTATCAAAAAATTTGACGAAAATATTTAGTCGAAAATTTTCGATGGAAATGTATTTTGCTAAAAATTTTGACAAATATTTTTTTTTTGTCAAAAACTTAACGAAAATGTTTCCGTTGAAAACTTTCGTCGAAATTTGAATTCTGTAAAGAATTTTGATGAAATTTTTTTCTTCAAAAAATTTCGATAGAAATGTGTTTCGTCGAAATTTTTGATGAATATATATTTTTGTGAAATATTTTGACGAAATTTAGATTCCGTAAAAAAATTTTCCCGTCAAATTTTTTTACAGAAATAATTTTAGTCACAAATTTTGATGAAAAAAATTTCCGTCAAAATTTTTTTGAAAAATTTTGATGGAAATATTTTGCGTAAAATTTTTTGACGTAATTGTTTTACGTTAAAACTTTTTTGTAATGTAATTGTGATTTTTTTTCTTTTTTTTCATATAATGGGTATGGATCAAGTTTTGGGTCAATGAGTCATTATTAAAACAAGTCAGGTCTAAAACTGACCCAAATAAAGTGAGTCAGTATTTAAACCCAGTTCAAAAAAAAAAATAGGTATTTATGGGTCAGGTCAAGGACAGGGCAAGTGAACCAGTTTTTTTGCACACTCCTAATTATCGTCATGTCCTCTGGTGTTTGGACGTCGTCTTCAATACATCAATAAAGAAAGGGACAGGTTATATTTATAAACTTTTTTGTTTAAAAACTCTTACAAACTACACTATGTAGGACTGGTCCTACATTAATCACACAATGTACGACCGGTCCTACATTAGTGTAATTGCAAAAAAAATTTATAAACGGATCCTGTCCCATAAAAAAAATATTAAACTTAGCTCAACTTTGTTGACTTATTTTGCTGAAATCAATATTGGACACAAATCACATTATTAAAAAATTCCCTTGCAATTTTCAATTAGATAGACAAACATGAAGACATAATTTAAAAATACTTTTCTTAACAGAAGACATTAGCAACAATGATACTCATACACTTCATTTAATGAGGCACGCAATTATTGGAAACTGGCTAAACATACAAACAAGAGCAAGCTAAAATTGTTAATCTGTGTAATTGTGCTCATAAAGTATTCAACGATCAAACATAGTTCTTTATGGAGGAGCTGTAGTTAGTGAGATTATCATAGTACTTCGACCAAAGCATCACTCCTCCATATTTAGTTGAATTCTTAATGGCTGGAAGAACTTCTGAAATCAGGTTAGAGGGAGGAATGAATCCACCTATAGAAGCATTAGGTGCAGCTGGTAGGCCTAACAAAATATTAGCTGCAGGAATGCTTGAAGTCCATATTTCCCAAGAATTTTGAAGATAAGTTGCATTTCCCGCAGTGTATTGACAGGGTGGATTATTGTAGAATTGAACCCAAACATAGTCAAATAGGCCTGTATTGAGAGCAGCTCCAAGGCTAGCATCAGGAAAAACACATTGTGGAGCAGCAGTTAAGTACACTTTCTTGCTTTGGTTGCTGTAGCTTGAGAGGTTCCTTGCAAGCTCATCCCAGTACTGAACTTGGCCACCTTCAATGACAAAATCAATTCCATCCAAGACAGCATCCCCAAGTGGTCGTGAGGAGGATTGTCCACCCAAGAAGTTGTTCCACAAGTACGTTGCAAGTTGCCTAGCATCCTCAGCTGAAGTAAGAGTATAATTTTTAAAAGTTTCTCCTCCAATGGAGAGCATTACCTTGATGTTCTTGGCTTGGCATGACTTAATATCAGAACTCAAATTGGCACATCCATTGTTTAAAGGGACACAATGGCCTGCGAGGTTCAAAACAGGAGTTGTATCATTCCCAAATGCAGCTAGGAAAGCTATGTTCACAAAAGCATAGTACCCAGAAGAACAAGTTTCTTCCAAGGTTCCCTCGTTTCCATTTTGACCCCAGTAAATAGCAATCCCACTAGCATCTGAACTTACTGCTAGAATTAGCACTGATAAAGCTAGTATTGCTAGTGAAATGACCACATTGGAAGCCATAAATTGGTTGAAGGGATTTGAGTTAATTTTTCAAAAAAATAAGAGCAAACAGTTTAGTTTCTGTGCTGAAACAAATCTGTAAAGGATGCTAGACAACTTTTTGTGGGTAACAACTTATCAAAGTTGCTTGAAATCTTGATAGATGAGTTGCTCACTAGTCACTAGTGTAGTGCAGCCTTTTCAATTGAACTTGTTCACTAATAAATATAGCACCCTTTAGAGAAAACAAGCTTAGAAAATAGTGTAAATCATTATCTTTTGTTATTGGCTGTTATACAACTAACATGAAATATGGGGAAAAAAAGTTAAAACTGATTTGCATTGAAATAATTTTCAATGGTCGGAGACAAATATCTTGATGAGGACTAAGGAATGGCCGTATGGAGTTAGCACAATAGTTAAGCAGTTACCATGTTTGTTCATGTTGGTTGTACCCGGGGAACAGGTTTTAAGCCGTAATGCGATCTCTTAAAAGTGTACGCCACTACACATCTCAGTAGCACAGCTGTGCTTTGTCTTCTAGTTCAAAACATGTTACAAAGTATTCGGTCAGATTTTTCCACATATACATTCAGTGCATATATTCTTTGCTTCGTTAAAACTGAATTTTGCATAGATGACAAAGTTGTTAGTCTTGGATAAATTCAGTGGTTGCATTTAGTAATATAGCATAGCATCATTGATTAGAAGGTTCAAACACAAATCCTTTTGGAACGAGGCATACAAACAAACTCCTAGAGGTGACTTCAAATTTGCTGTGGGTCAAGCCCAAAAGCTCTATATTAATTCGGTATTGCCCCATAAAATTTACTTTTACGTAGGCTTTTTTTAACCCTAATTTCCAAAATTTTATGATTTAGGGGGTTGAGTTGGAGTTTATCTATGGGTTAATTTTATAGAATATATATAACAAATATATATTTTAATAAGTTAATAAGAAGTTTATGTATTTGTTTTAGTTGTTTTGAATTATGTTAGTGAAAGATATTTCATTCTCTATTTATAATTATATTAATTCTTATATAATATTTGCAATAAAAGTAACTATAAAGTTAAATATATATATATAAATCCAATATTTAAAAAATATACTTATATTAAAATATAAAAGTTATAGAAAAGATAAATTTGTATTAAAATATAAATTTACATTGTTTAGTTGAGTCACCCAAATTTGAATCCAATAATTTGAAATGTTAAAAAATATTATTTTCCTAATAATTAATATTGTGTGCAGGAATAAGTACTTTGAGAATGAATCCTCTCATAATTTCACATCTAATTTTAACATGTTAATGGTATGTGGTGAATATCAAACATTTATTAATGAATCAATGATCATAATTTTATTGACAAAATTTATAAAATAAAATAAAAGCAATATTTATATTAATTAGGGGTCGTTGATCATTAATTATTGACTGTTAATTTGTTAATAAATGAATGAGATTCATATGACCTCATCATATTAAAATTAAATATGAGAGAATTCATTTTCAGATTGTTTTAAATATTTAAAATAAAATAAAATGACAAATTATAAACTTTCAGCATTTGTCTTTAAGACTTTATAAGTAGATAGTTACTTTGTAATATTTTATAATTTAATTAAATTTTAAACATTTTTATATAATTTGAAATTTTATAATGGATTTTTATGTTTCTACTTTATTTCATAATTTAACTAGGTTTTCAATTAAATATTTATTAATTATGAAATTATAATCAAGTTCTTAAAATCTATACTAACAACACTTAATAGCTTCTATAGTTATCAACATCCATTTCTATTTTTAAAAATGTCAAAAGTATAAAAGTATAGTAAAAAGAAATCAGCATTACTTAATTTGTTATAGCAAAAAAATTGAGAGGATTATACAAAGTCTTATTTAATTAATTTTTACTTAAAAATTTAAACTATTAAATTTTTTGTCTATACTAAAAATCTTACTAAATAATAAATTTTTCCCCTATAAGTATTATTTAATAATACGAGAAAAGTTTAAAAATACCCTGGGATTTCCATCAGAATCACTTACCTCTATGTTTTTTTTAATCACTTATTTTCCCTGTGATTTTTCCATTAAAGTCCACCTCTATTATTTTACCAAAAATAAAATAAAAAGTCCACCTCTATTATTGTTAAAACTTTAGGGAATATGTCTATTTTGCCCTAGGTTCCATAAAAAATCACCGAAAGATAAGTGATTAAAAATAAAAACACATAGGAATAAGTGGTTTAGAAAAAAAACACAGTGAAAAAATGATTAAAAAAATGACAGTCAGTAAATGATTATAGAAAAAAAAATCACAAGGGGTGATTTGACTCACACACACACTCAACACATACATATTAGAGATACTGTCCAAAGTAGAGTAAAATGACACCATCACTAGAAATATTGTGCTATTATGGGTTACATAAACATATGCTAAACATTCATTAAAAATATCCATGTTGAAATACATCATGGATATTTTTGGCATTTGAGTCCTTATTTCAATATGGAGCAACGTGAAGTTTTTAACTAATTATCAATCTACATAAAAAAAAATTAGTCTGCAGTCAAATAAAAGTTTGGCAAAGAACTGAAGTCTAGGGACTACAATCGAAGATGGCAGCTGGGATTTGGAGTTATCTGTTGGCATATGTGGAAGGAAATAAATAATCTCATTTTCAAGGGCAAAGGTCTTAATCCCCAGGATTTTTTCCATCAGATTTCTATTAACATTTTAAATATTGAAAATTCTAATGAAATTCTGATGTCTTCTGATTTAGTTGTGGAAACTATGAAGGAGGTTTGGATTAATTGGAAGTCTCCCATGGAGGGTTGGATCAAGATTAATATTGATGGATCTTGTAGAAATAATGGTTCAAATCTGACTTGTGGTGGAGTTATTAGAGATACTTATGGGAATTGGGTGCACAGATTTAACAAAAATCTGGGTTATGGCACTGTGCTTATGGCGGAATTGTGGGGGTGTGTAATTGGTTTGGAGTGGACTTGGCAACAAAATTATAGATATATAATCTTGGAAGGAGACTCAATGGCGGCTAATCATTTGATTGTGGAAGGGTGTATAAATACTCATTCATGTTGTTCTCTTGTGAATAGAATTAAGGAATTACTTAACCTCCATTGGCAGGTAAATATTTTACATACTTATAGAGAAGGCAACCGAGTGGCTGATTGGATGGCTAAACTCAGGTTGATAATGACTGGGATACTTGCTGGTTCAGCTCTCCTCCGAATGGTTGTAGGGACCTTTTATAAGAGGATTGTAGGGGCACCTTGTTGGCCAGGAATGTTTCTTTCTAATTTGTTTGTTTTGTAGCTTTCCTTTGTTATCAAAAAAAAAAAAAAAAAAAGTTTGGCAAAGAACTATTAATCCTAAATATAACTAAGAAATATTAAGTGCGGGAGTTTGTGTTACAGATAAAAGTTTGATGACTGTTTGGTATTCTTTGGGCAAATTAAAATCCTTCCAAATCCTAAACAAAGGAGAAAGAAAACTATGCACTCAATTCAAATACTTATATAACATATTAAATAAAGAGATTCTATTTTCTCATGTTGTTGGAGATAGTTATTTCCTATTTTAGACACATGATGTGATGGAGCCCACACCTAGTAAAAAAAGAAAAAAAAAATGATAGTACAATTTTTGATGTGAGAACAACATGAGATAGTTATCTCATATAAAATAAGATAATGATTTCCCTTAAATAAATGACAAGATCGTAATATAATCTCGGTAGTGAATTTTGTTTATGTACGTGTATATATTTGTTTGTAAAAATATAGGAAAAAATCATTCGAAAATTAAGGAAGGGTTTTTAGTTATATAGAAAAAAATATAAATTATGAATTTATCGTTTGTAAATAGAGGTGTATTTGAATGAAAAAATTTCAGGAGAAAAATAATTAAAAAAATCATATGGTATAAATGATTCTAGCAAAAATTACATGGAGTTTTTGACATTTTTTTTTATTTTGGTATACTTACCTAATTATCTCTTTAACTGTACAAAACAAACCATAACAAAATGGATATGCCCAAGCAGTCAAGCTGTTTCCTGTGAAGAACCTTTTCCCTTTCAGATATAACAAAAAGCGATGCATTTAATGCTTTTGATATAAAATCAATTGTTCAATTAATTTATTTACACTGAAAAGTAATTCAACGCTAGATTCAATTAATTTAACTATTTTAAACGACCGATTAAACTAAATGATATCTATAATTCATGCATAACAATGCAGGAATTGATTTTCGTCAGAAAATTTTTTCATGTTACACACACAATACATGAGTGGAGTCTACAAAAAGGTGATAAGACAAAAAAGTCAAAATGAGACCCACTCATGTATTGTGAATGTAGCATGAGAAAATTTTCTCATGTAAAATGAGAAAACTATTTCCCAACAATGTAAAATATATTTAAAGTTAGGATATTCTAACTACCAAAAATTCTCACTACTAACTTATTATTCATTACATCAACATTAGATCAAAGAGAGAGAATGTTAAAAAATGTTTGAAGAAAAGAAAATGTTAAGTGATTAAATAAGTAATAAATTGATAGTAAAAAATTTTAGTAGCGAGAATATCCCTCCTAAAAGTTTATAAAAAGTTGTTATCAAAAAAAAAAAGTTTATAAAAAGTAAAACAAAACATAATTTTAGCTGATTAGTGATCTTCAGTATAAATTCAATATTTGTTCACAACCAGATCCGAACCATTAAGAAGCACGTGCAGGCATGAACTGGGTGCTAACGACCACCGCGGTGACACGTGACATTCCCCCGACCAGTGTGCAAAACAGACACATATCTTCTTAGTAAAACAACCGTCGTATCCAAAATTCCCAAAACTGGTGGAGCGCCGAGGACACAACAACACCCCAACGGCGCAATTTAGCAACAACAACTCCACTCGAAACGGCACAGCACAACCATCGATTCCGATCCAATACGACGCCGTAACTGTGAAGCCTCTGTCAATCCAACACGATTCGATTCTTGTTTTCTGTTCTGTTCAGTTCCAATGCCAAGAAAACAAATCTAAGACGATGTTTGTTTGTGTGTTTCTGTTAGTAGGTTATGGAGAAGATGCAGTATGCGGAGGAGCTGGTGAGGGAGTTTCTGGTGTTCAGAGGATTCACTTACACTCTTGAAGCTTACGAGACAGAATTGCGAACCGACATTGGTAAAGGGTTTGAGGTTGACAAGATTCTTGACCTAATCTTCTCTGTCTATGTTCCCAAGTTTCAGGCTGATAAGTTGGTTTCTCTGCTCGGTTTCTTCAAACACTATCTCTCCTCTTCTTCCCAAACGACACTCGTTTCCACCTTGTCTAAGTTGGAGGCTTCTCTTCTAAGGTTCTACGTCGTTCATGCCTTGCAATCAAATCGTAGCGACAAAGTTGTTGAGTTTTTCGCAGTCAATGGCACTGACTTATTGCAAAGATCACAGGATTGGACTCAATGGTTTGGTGCGTTTTACTTTTTTGGTTTTGTGGTCGTTCTTGTTTTTGTTTCTTTGTAATAACTTGCAATGATGATTTTTTGTTGTTCTTATTTTTTTGTTGCAGCAATTCCTTATATCAAGAATCCACACTTGGATCCCGAATTTCGAATCTTTTTCTCCAAGGAGTGGTATCAGGCCTTGCATCTTTCTGTCAGAAACTTCTTGAGTGAGATCTTCAATGGCACTCATATCCTTCACAAAATCTTTTTTTTTTTTTTTATTCATTCTCTTTTTCAAGTTTTACTTTTTATGTTTCAGGGTTAATTACGGATTCATAGGTACAATATGATTTCCTCAATAATTGACTTACTCTTATTACTATGTAATTTGGTCATTAAGTTTCAGAGTTTATGTCTGACGGGCCTCATCTAGTTTTAAAAGAAGGTTGAATAGGGTGTGACCGAATTAAAACCAGGTTGATGCATGTGTATGTTGGTAAATGGTAATTTATGAAAAACAAGTCACAAGAGGATACTCCGCTACTAATGTGAATTATCTTTTTCCATCCTTTTCACTGTATTGCACGTTGATACCCTCGTAGGGTGTTTATTGATATACCTTTTCTGTAGTAATTGATGTAGGTAGGGGCTAGGGAATATATTTTTGCAACAAATGTATCATGGGTTCTCTTTATAATCTCCAGTATGTTACCTTTCACAAACTTTCTTGGATACAACAACTAGGAAGTATGGCATTTGGGAATCAAAGGTTTTTTTTGCACTTTTAGATTCCATTTGAGATGCTTATGTCTTCAGGCTTCACATTTTCATCAAGTTTTTTTCTTCTTTTTTTTCCTGAAATTATCCTTAATAATATCACGTCTACCTGCTCTGATGAAGATCAGTTCAGAGATGAATGCTACCAACGTACTCAAAAGAGATATCATTCACCTAAATCTTAAATTGTCACAACTTCAGGCTTTAATTGATGAAAAGGAGGCACAGTTATGCCAGTTTAGAAGGTAAGCATATTTTTATTCAATGCTGCTGAGTCTCTAATTTGACATGTTTGGTTTTCTAATTAATTTGGATTGAAGAGTGGAAGGAAGTTTTATTTCATCGAGCAATTTGCGTGAAGAAAGTGCTCACATCTCAAAAGATTCTCCGGAGGTTTTTCCAACTGTTATTCCACGAGCAGGTCAAACAGAGATTAGCCAAGATTCAGTTGTGGATGGACCTGGATATATTCAGTCTGAGTATATCAGCTCCAAGTCTGGGGATGATTCAACTTTCCTATTGAATGACCAACTAGGAAATGGTGGAGCTGGTGATACCACTCAAAAAGGTCTTGACAGTCTCCATTTCGGCAGGCAGATATACTTTGAGGCCTCTCCCACTTTGTCAAATGATATTCATTAGTTGCTTGATCATTATCTGTTAAGCAAGTTTATGGCTAGTTTCTATGGATAGACTTGTTTAAACCCATGTGCTGACAAGTTCTAAATGATGAATTAGTGTTTTGACAAGATAACTAGTTAACTAATCATTGAAGTGTAGGGAAAAGGTAAAAACAAATAATATCAGATGTCTGTGAATTCTAAGAAGTAAATGGAATTCGCTGGAAATATGACTCTCTCATTCATCCTAAATATAAATGATGGAATTAATTTTACACTGCCACTTGTTGTACTGATATGGTATGAGCAGAGATCTAATATTTTATGGTTTCAAATGACGGTGTTAGTTTCAGGACCCTGCAAGCATAAACAAAAATTTCAGACATGTAAAAATCAGTTTGTAGATATTGAATCAGTTGCAGAACTCATGGAAATAAAACAATAAAGCTTTGTATTTGTTTATCTAGCTTTAAAACAAGGAAGCTATCAATCATTTTATTATTGTTATTTATTATTTCTAACAAAATTTCAGGACGCATTATGTTCACTTAATCAGCACCTAATCTTGATATCTGAACTGAGCTAATTTTCTGAATAAGGAATAAATTGGTCTTTAGGCTGATATAGCAATTAAGTATTGAGTAACCATTGATTGCATATTTGGAAATAAAAATTTAACAATTAAATTTGTGGCAGAAAACAATGGGGAAGTTTACAGGGAAGAAGATTTTGCTGAGGTCAAAGTAGAGCACCAGGTAAAATTGCCTATGGAGCCTTATTTATTTATTTATTTATTTATTTTGTTTGCACTGTACTTTCATCTGAATTTGCAGAGTGTATTAAATTTTTTTGGAGTTTGTGTAAAAATCAATTTATTATGGTGTCTAGGAGACATTTTTGGGGCACACTAGTCCAATCAGCAGATGCCGCTTCTCTGCATCCGGGAATAATATCGCTAGTGCTTCCCTCGATGGAACTGTCAGGTACCCTCTTTTGGAGTTGATGGAAATAAACATCAAGATTATTACTTAATTGGAAAACTGGAACAGTCTTCATGTAATTATTAGTCTTGATTACTGGGCTGTAGCCTGTACTCATTTGCCACTATTTAGAAATCTTATGTGTATTTTGAGCAATACCATCAACAACAGATGATAAATTAAATTAAAAAAAAGAAAAAGAAATAAAGGTTGATGCGCTCCAAATCATTTTTGTTTAGAAATTGCCCTTTATATGTTTCCCTTCATTAATGCTTCTTTACCTATCACTTAGTATCTGCAAATTTTCCTTAATTTTATGAAATCTCTCTCAAGCAATTTGGTCTTTGTTTGCTCTACATGTTTTAATAAAGGATATGGACATATGATACATCAACTCCAGTGTCTAGAAATGCAACCATATATTGTGGCACTGAAATTTTGTCGCTTGATTGGGAATGTAAATCAGACCGCTTGGTATGTGAATTGACTTCTCATGGTGACAAAAGTTATTTGGTTTTATTGATTATATAAGATTGTAAATTTGAGTTATTAAGTTGTTCCTCTTGATGAAAGCTTCTAATAGGTACATCGGATGGGTGCATTAAGGCATGGAATGTGGATGCAAAGAGAGTTGTCTGTGACCTCAACACAACTGAAGCATTTCCAAGGTATTTCCTAATTATATATTTTTCAGGTTTCTACACATTGCTTTTCAACTCTCTGACACATGTGATTTCTCAGTGTATTGGACATAAAGTGCAGTCCTGTGGAGCCTATTTTTGTGTCTGCAGCAGCATCTGGAGGGTATTCATTAATTTTTCAAATATTGAATTCTTTGTTGAAGTAGTAAATTAGTTTAACTTGGTGACCTGTGTTTTAACACAATGTTAGTCTAATTATGATATGTACATTTTGCTGTTTTGATTTTAGACATAAGGATGAAACTGTGGTTAAATACCATTGGTCACCCGGTTTCTATTATGCGCTCAATGCCCATCCTTTATGTTGTTCATTTTTTTGTTAATGTTACACTGTTAACACATTTTAGCAATGAATTATGAGGACCATATTTATTGTCTGTGTAGGGCTGGTTCCAACTATTTTGACAACCTGGGTTTCGCTTCGCTAACTGTGTGGAACATGAAGACATGGAAAGCCATGGTATGTTCTTCTTTTAGAATGTTTGTCATATTTTTGGCTATGATTAATTTTGGATTTTATAAAGACAGCCCTTCCTCTTGGAGAAGATCCGCCAGCAATTACTTCTTTATGCTTTAATCACAATGGGAAGATTTTAGCAGCTTCCGCTGTTGATGGAATGATTCACATGTTCGGTATCCTTTGATTTTATTCATTTATTACTTCCCTGCATTAATGTGTTTAAAGATTCATATCAAGTGAACCTGGTGCTATAATGCTCCTGTAGTGTGCAAGGTTTAGGGAAGGGTCAAACCCATTGTGTGGGTCTATAGTACCTGTATTCAGTGATTTGTATGTGAAATAAAATATTGATTTGTTGCTTGTGTTTAGAAAGTTATATCTTCTTTTGCTGGAATGGCTAAATTGATGGATTTTTGTGCTTTATGGTGGTTCCTTATGATTATTGGGCACAGTTAATCGGTCAAATAAATTGCTGCAAAATTACTTTTAGATAGGAGAACGTATTGTGTTGTGAATGTACTAGCAGGGGTCACTTGGTTTGACAATAAAGTCATCCTTAACAAGCCAAAGACATGTCTGCTGGACTGCAAATTACTGGCTGGCCTGCACATGATTCTTCTATCAGTTCTATTCTTTTTGGACCAGATGAGACTAGCATTTTTAGCCTGGGCTCTGATGGGAAGGCAAGTACTATTTAGTGTTATTCCAGCTTGTGAAATGGATTGTATACTTCATACTAATAACTAATCTGTTCTTTGTTGCCAGATTTTTGAGTGGAGTTTGCAAAATCAAGGTCAAATCCTGTGGTCAAGAGACTGTAGTAGGTATATTTCTAGTTAGACATCCTAAGATTAGACTTACAATGTTTTCAATTTACTTTTGTGCAAATACGAAGGCTTAAAATTGTTTTTACCAGCCAAAGACAAGGAAAATTAAATTCATGAATTTGAGGGTTGTCATTAATGGCTAGTCCTTCTCCGAAACTGTCCTTCTTAACAAGGAAATATATGTACGTTTTCCATGAGGTGCCTGTTCTTACTAAGACAAAGTTGGAAAATTAAGAGCTGAGCCATATGGCTTTTGATAGTGAATTTATGTCGGGATCCACTTCCATCTTGAAGTAATTAAAGCAACACAACTTAGCGTATCCAATAACCTCCTTAAATTCCTATAATTCTGCATCTAATAGATAGATAGTATCTCATATGATCAAGAGGTTTTAGTACAGACGTGACTCGTTTTTTATGCAAATGCTGAGCCAATTCTGATTAGATATTTTAAGTATTGGTCACTGGATACATTAGTAGGTTTAATAATGTGGTCAATGATTGTAGTGTTTAATTTTCAAAACATGGAAGCAGTTCCATCTAGGTTATAATTAACGGTGCCATGATTAGGCAATTGTCTCTGCTATGATTTAGTGTTTTATCCATTATGGCATATAAATTTAAATATAGGTTATCAAAATTATCATTGTTATTCATGATTTGACATTGCTTTTTATTTGGGTTCGAATGTAGATCCCAATTAATTTGGGATAAAGTATTAATGTTGATTCATGATTAGATGTTAATTTTTAATTTTACTCTTCATGAAATTAAAATCTACTCTCTTTTTTTTTTTACCTAGAACTTACTTACTATTGAATGGAGTAAATATTTCAAATGATATAAATGTATACTATTTTATTTAGAGTAAAATTATGTAAAAGTATAGCACATCTAATAAAAGAAATTATGTATAACGCAATCAAAGTTATGAGAGGGCTGGGACTAATCACATCAATTACAACTGGGATGCAATACATATGTGAAATAACAATGGTACGACCAGTGTTTATTTATTTATTTATTTATTTATTCATTCATTTTTTGCTGTTAAAAAACATTTTAGCTCATTTATGCTTTGTGAGGGATAATGTTTGATCTCCATTCCTTCTATCCTTGCTTTTGGATATGATTGAAGAACTTGTTCTCGGCATGATCTTTTTTACATTTCATAGGTTCTGTTACCCCGTCTATGGTTCAAGATATTGCAGACATGAGATGGCGTTAGATGCAAATGGGAGGAGACTCTTGGTAACATCAAGCTCAGATAGAGCACCCATATATCAGGTTGATGTTTCTTGAATTCCTCTCCATATTGTGATTAGACCATCCCTTTGAAGGGGATTATAATTTACCTACTCATATATTAGTTTGACTTGTAACAGCTAGCAAATTTTGGCTTGAATATTGGCGGTTATCTTGTCAGTTACCTGAAAATGTCAATGTTTTGTTGCCTTGTGTCAGGTTCAGGGTCATTTGAGTGGATGGAGAACACTTCCTCACGGTGCTCCAATTACTGCTGTGGATTGGCATCCGACCTTGCCCATTTTCTTGACTGGATCAGCTGATAACTCTGTCCGAGTAACATCTTTATCGTAGTACAACATTATATCTCGGAGTTTTTCATTCTTTCTTTAGTGAGTATTTAACTAGGTTCTATTCGATTTTTATGTTGTAATATATTGCCTAACCGTTGATTTCCGCCCATCAACGGTTATTATTTATTGGAAATTAATAATTCATTAATAAATTTAATTTCCAATAAATAATAACCGTTGATTGACGGAAATTAATGTTTAGGATTTGGTGTCAAAGGATCCAGCTATATATATATATATATATATATATATATATATATATATATATATATATATATGGGAAAAGATTTTTTGATATCTCATCTAAGAGCCGTCAGATCAAGCCAGATCAACGGTGTTACATGCTTATAAATCAGAATCCTTAAATCAAAGCAAGATCAACGATTCTTGGATGAGGTGTCAAACTACTTTTTGTTTGACACAATGTCAAAGAATTCTATATATATGTAAGCAACTGATCTATGCTGTCGGTGTATTTCTGACTCTGCAAGTGGGATGTTCATATTTACGCAATTGGTTTGTATGTATATTCATACCTTTTTGAGAGTTTAGTCATTTCTCTTGTCGTGTACGAAATTAATGTATCATACATGAAGAGATTGTCATGCAGGGATATATTGTGAAGAAATTTTGGCGTCATAGTTTTTTTTTAATATATGACTTTTCCTATCATATCTTTAATTCTGTTTCTATTAAAAAACTTTGTTTCTGTTTTCTCGCATTTAAAAAACTAATGGTCGATTTTTTTGAAGTTTTCCATTATCATTATTGTTATATATATCTTCAATAATTGGTCAGGTAGAAAATATACTCTCTCAGGGAATATTTTGTTATCATGCACATGGAGATCAAATATTTGTTACTGTATATTTCAATGTATCTCCTCTAGTTATTTTCTTTGTTAGTTCCGTTGTTTCTCCTTCGAACTTGCACTATGTATCTGCCTGGAAAGTTGAAACTTAATCACTTTATTTTGCCTGCTTAATTTTAACCTTTGAAATTAAAACCTTGTGAATCTTGAGGTCTAGTTAGATCTGTTGGATTTGTGCTCTTTTACTTAAATTCAATTAGGATAAGAGCACGAGAAGAGCTCTAAAAGCCTAGAGCCCAATGAGATTAGAGCTAGGATTTCTTGGAATTCATATAAATACTACCACTTAAGTCATTAATTTAGGTCATTAAACAAGAAGAGGTAAGTTCAGATATGAAAAAGTGCTCACAGACTTTCCCTTCTCCCTTGAGAGATAGTTTGGAAGGTTTGCCAGAGAGTAGATAGGTTTGTTCGTTATATGACACGGTAAAGATCGGTTCATGAGTTTGTGTTGTGACACGGAGGACACCGATTCGTGGAGTATCATCTCTGATATGCCCTACAAGAGGTAATCATAAATGATGATGATCCGTTGCATTCCAAACCTCAATGGTCTAAAATGCTTCCACATATCCAATTGCGCCTACAATTGATATCAGAGCCGGATTGCGTGTTTGGATGTGGATCTAGTTTATTGATTTACTATTATTCATGTAATTAGTTAGCTTCGTGAAATATGGAACCTAGGGTTCGATATTTGTTATTATATATTGACATGCGTATCTTTATAATTCTTTTCGTTAAAAATCGATGCTTTATTTGGTTTTTGGCTTTAATTCATGGTAGAGATTTGATTGTATTTTCTTGGATTGTAACAAGGAGGCTAATCCCTTGTGATTAAGTTTTCTCCTTGATTTTTTATTTCAATTTTTGTATATTTTTTGGTTATATTACAAAAATTGTAATGAAAGAAGATCAAAAAGATGCAAAAAGAAGGGCATTTGTCACTGTTTAGACTGTTCGTGACTTTACGGTAGCCGATATGAGAAACCAACCTCATGGCATGAAAGAGGACATAAAATCGAGCAGGAAGACAACCGATTTTGGCCGAAAGGAGGCCAGACGTGCCTTCACGCGCCGCCAAAAGTGCTCATGGCGCCACTTTTCGATAGAGATAAGGTACGTGGAAGCTCCGAGCTGGTTGGTTCTGTTGGCAGTGGTTTCGTCTCTTTAAGGTAGTCTTGACCCTAGAGTTTTATGCTGATATGAGTTCCAATGACGGCACAGTGAACTTGACGGCTAGGGTTCCTAAAAGTTGTCTTAGGGTTTCTTGCCAAAATTTGGTATTTTGAGCTTTTGGGCCTATGATTTTCATGAATAGGCTTGAATATACCCCTATGGACTGAAAGGAAGAAGGAAATGGGTTGAAGAGTTTTCTATTCCAATTTGTAATTTTATTTTTCTTTAGGGAACCATGGATTAAATTTTATTTTATAATTGCTTTATTTTTATAAATGGATGACTTATATGATTGATAACATTCCATATAGAATATGTGATTTCATATTGTTGCATACCTTGTTAATTACAAGAGCATAATATGTTTGTACAATTAGATTAATAATCATATATATATATATATATATATATATATATATATATATATATATAAAATTTAAATGTAATGTAATGGTTATTACATTTGATAGGCTAGATTAATGGTCATTATAATATTAATTTTAATGTTTGAAATATGTGCATAACAAATTTAATAATTTAATGATCGCTATGGTAATTATTTTGATTTAAAATTATACTCATAAATGATAATTATTACTATTCCTACAATCTAGATTAATAATTAAGTCGATTTTTTGGACAATTTAAATTTAGATAAATAATTAAGAATATTTCCTAAGAGAACTGTTTATTTTGCGAGTAAATTGTGGGTCTTCTAAAACGGTTATGTATAAACACAAGTTGCATACCACAATCATGTATCATGATTGTGTGAAGCACACGCTGCCTTTCATGATCGAATTTTAGGACCTTAGTGATTTTAAAATTTCAATAAATTAAGCGAAGCACGTAAATGGGAGGAGATTTAAATCAAGGAATTAATTTAACCTTCATATGCACTATAGACCATTAATAAAATAATAATGCGATGCCCCACCGAATAAACATGATTGAATTTTATTAGTTGGACCTATATAATAATGGGAGAAGATTCAAATTAAAAAATTTATTTAACCTCCGATGCATTGTGGGCATATCAATAAAATAATTATGTGAGGCCCACCGGATAAGTGTGATTGAATTTTATCGGGGCTTAATAATTTTAAAATTTTAATAAAGTATTGTACAACTCATCGCTTGACAATACTAAATTATTAAAGATAATTTTAAAATTAAACAATAAATTTTACATTCAACAAAGCTATGAAAAGTCTCAATAAAAATATTAATTATGTGAAGGTTCAAAATTAAGTATTTAATTTTAAAACTTGCCAGCTCCATCTGTGGGTCCATTAATAAAATGGTAGTGTGATGCCCCAACGGATAAGCATGACTGGATTTTATTTGATTGAACCTTAATAATTTCAAAATTTTAATAAAGTATTGTTCGGCCCAACGTCGACAATGCTTGGGTACCAAGGATAATTTTAAATTAAACAATAGTTAACTACATTTAATTTTAGTAAAGTTATTAACCCTCCTAACAAGACTCTGGTAATGGTAAGGATGACTCAAATAACAATTTTAATTTTTACAAGTGATTGTCCAACGTAAGCCTTGTAAAGAAAACTGGAGAATTGTTAATAATAAACAATAGTAGTTATGAGAATCTACTTGCACTTCATTTGTTTAGTGCATTATTTGTTTGTAATTGTTTGCCTTGTTTGTTTCTTTTTTCCAGAAAATGACTTCCTTTAATCAATTCAAAATGATTTTGAGTCAAAAATCTCTAGATGTTACCAATTATGAATAAGTGGAAAGCAAACATTGATATTGCTCTAAAATATGAAAGCTAAAATTTGTTCTGACAATACCAAGGCTACGACAACCTATAGACAGTCACGTCTAAGGAAACTAAGACACAATAATGGCAGATATGGTAGTTCGCTGTTATATTCTTGTCAGTCTTTCCAAACACTTGCGAAAGCAAGTTACATGGTTAAGAGTGGAGTAGAGATGCTTCAGACTCTTAATGACATGTTTGCTGTCTCTAGCAACTCTGCTAGGTAAAATGCAGTTAGTGCAGATTTTGTTAAGAGTCTTATTAAATCTAGAGAAAACCCAAGGTGGTAACAAGAACAAAATCGTTTGGTTATCAATTGTCAAACAGATGCTATGAAGAAGCTGAAAGGTAAGTACTTCAAGTGCAGATTAAAAGGACACTAAAAGAAAAATTGCCCAGAGGTGATGAAACAAACCAGACAAGGGTAAGTTAAGGCTTTGTTAGTGGATGAATCAGTGATTCAGGAACCACTGCTTATGTTTGCTACTCTTTGTAGTAGTTCAAACATGACTATCAACGGTGGAAAAAGAAAATTTAAGCTTGAAAATGAGGAACTTATTTCTGCATTACTAGTAGGACAAGTTATTTAAAGGACTTTGATTTTGTTTATTTGTTCCAGATTTCAAGAGGAATTCAATTATTGTTAATTGTTTGGTTAAAACATGGTTGACAATACAATTGATTCCTCGCTTACATTTCAAATTTCATCCTCCTTTTGTTTGTTCTGGTACATTGTATAAATAGTATTTATTACCTATGTCCTATATCCCATTGAATTTATTATGTTGAATTAAAAGGATGATGAACAAGTACATTTACCAAAGAAATAAAAGTTTCAATTGAAACATAACTTTGGCCTTTATGATTGAGTTAGATTATCTCAAATAGAAAACATGGTTTAGTTATAAAAGGGATTGAAAGTTCCATAGTTTTTGAACTAAAAGCTACATGCAAGTCCTATTTGGAAGGTAAAATGACCAAGCAATTTTACAAAGTCAAAGGGATTTGCGGAATTATTCAACTAGAATTGGTATATACTGATGTATATGGACCAATTAGCATTCTAGCCAGAAAAGGTTACGAGTACTTCATTATGTGAATGGTTACTCTGGATTTGGACAAATGAACCTAGTGCGCCATAAATCTAAAGCTTTTGGAAAATTTCAAGAGGTTTAAGTCTGAGGTAGAAAAGTATCTAAGTTTTCAATTCAAAATACTTTGGTTTGACTGAAGTGTTGGATATCTGTCTGGTAAGTTCAGGTCTTACCTAATTTAAGAGGGGATAGTTTTTACAATTGTCAACTCTAGGAACACATTAGTTGAATGAAATTGCAATATGCAGAAATCAAACATTTCTAGATTTGGCGAAGTCCATGTTCAGTTATTTATCCTTGCCAATGTTGTTATGTGGAGATGCCGAGGAGAAGGCAATGTACCTTCTTAATTTGATTCCATCCAAGTTTGTTATAGAGACACCTAAAAAATTATGGAAAGGGTGCAAACCCCGTTCATACTATATTCGAATTTAGGGTGCTCCGGAACATGTTCTACAACAGCGATCAAATAAGATGAAATCTTGTACAAAAGTGTGCATATCTTTCGGTTACCCTAAGAGAATCAGGGATAAGATCTTATTTAGTTCAAAGGATAAGAAGATCTAGGTGAACACTCACGTGATTTTCTTTTAGGAGAACTAGATCAGAAATTATAAGCCCTTGAGTAAGGTTATTCTTAATGATACTTATCTCAGATCAAAAAATTTCAAGATCTCTAGAAGCTCCATCCTCTGTTCCCTTGATTGTTTAAAGAGGGGAAAGAGATATAACTCTAGGTGAACAAACCCGGGAACTATAATTGAAAATTTAACATGATAATATATAAGTGGAACTAGTAAAAATATTAGTATCACATGTGGAAGAACAATATCAAGGAGTTGTTAACACATAATATATGGATCTTCTCACACATATTAGAATCTTCGAAGTATATTATTTTGTACCATAATTGATTTAGTAATCATTTATGTAAAGCTTTCAAACTAAAAAATTTAGTGTTGGGCTTATTCGCAATGTTAATGAGGTGTTTCTCTGCTAACCATTGCAAAATTTTGGCCTTTTGGGTGTGTGACACAGCATGGGTCATGTCTCTGACTGGGAGCTTAGTTGAAGAAAATTAGTCATGTTTTACAATAAGTTTAACATAAGGAAAAAGCAAGCTGTAAAGACTGCACAATACAAAAAAGATTACGCTACCGGCCTGACAATGGTATCAAAATTGAGTTGGGCTCGAGTTACCCTGATGTTTGTCTATAGGCGGGTTGAGTACTTGGGTGAGTGCCAGTGGCGTAGCCACGTTACAGCTAGGTGGGGCCTGGGGCCTAGCTAATTTTGAAAACAATTTATTTATTATATATAATTATATGCTTAATTTTGATTCGGCCCAGGCTAAAATTGTAATTAGGCCCTACCTAAGTAATCTAAATGAAACCATTTTCTTGTCTCAGACAAGATGAACTACATTCATCCTCACGGTACCCTTTGTGAATACCAATTTTATGCAACAAGTTTTGTTTTTATTCAATAAAAAAAAGATATAAGAAAAAGGAACATACAGAGAGCAGAAAGAAGTGCAGAGGGAGGAGGTGAACAAAGATAGGTCTTTGTACAGGGATCAAGTAATCACCAAAATGGACAACAAAAGGGTACAAGGAGAAAAGAGCTTCAGAGCCATACACGAAAATGGATAGTGAAAATAGCATTTCTACACTCTGGGAGGCACCCAAATGACCCAAAACTCTTCTATCATCAACATCCTTCTCTCAAAAATACTCAAGAAGATGGCAGATGTATAACCAAGTCAGTTAAACACACCACCATCAACGGAATTCTCCTCTCCATCCCTGCCTAGCTTTGCCAGAAAACACCAGCCATTGCATCAACTTGTTGCTCCCCTCACGCCGTTCGCCATCGCTGAAGATCTCCGATGTCGTTCGCCACAACTTGGATTTCGTCCGCCGTGCACGACTCAACCTTTCTTTCTGAGTTCTGACTTTCCATACTATAAACCAAAGGCACCGCACCTCTCCATTTTGCGGTAACCTCCTCGAACCCAAGGCATATCAAGTTTATATCCATTATGACATATCAAGTTGTTTATATCATTATATGGTGGAGGAGGATAGATATCATTTCTTTTTGTCTCGTTTATTCAGCCTTTCTTTTATTTATTATTTCAAATTATCTTGTTTGGATGGATAATATAATGACAACAAATAAAATAAAATAAAAAATATCAAAGTTAATCTAATTTATGAAAAGACGTTTCACTGCATACATTAATAAGGCTAGAAAATAGATATACAGACTACTTAACCTATTTGTTATGCCATGTGAAAAACCAAAAAAAAAAAAAAAAAAAAAAACTGAATGCATAATTGTTTTAGCTTGTTTTAATTTAGAGTAAATACCCTTTTTGATCCTTAGCAAATTTCACGATACCCGTTTTAGTCCATAGCAAATAAAAAGGCCCATCGTGGTCCCTAAAAAATTCAAAATGGACCCTTTTGAGGACTAATATGGGTCTTTTTTGAATTTGTGAGGACCACAATTTCAACTAAATGGGTCCATTTTGAATTTTTTAGGAACCACAATAGGCCTTTTTATTTGCTAGGAACTAAAGCACGCATCGTAAAATTTGCTGAGGACTAAAAAGAGTATTTACTCTTTAATTTATTCAGCCTTTCTTTTTATTTATGTGAAAAACCAACAAAAAAAAGCTGAATGCAAAAAAAAAAAAACCAATAAAAAATATCAACGTTATTCTAATTTATTCAGCCTTTCTTTTTATTTATGTTTTAGCTTGTTTTATTATTGTTTATTATTATTCTTTTGGTTTCCTATCTAAGCTAATATACGTTTTCATGGGCCATGGACTGAATGCATAATTGTTCATCTAATTTGAAAAAGTTAAATTGCATGTGTCAGTAACTATAGTTAATGCATTTCATTATGTTAAAATATTCATATTTCTTGTTTGCGCTATATTTTATGCGTTTAGTCAACATGATTAATAACTTTCTTATCATTATTTTTTATTGTCAAATATGTGTTGATTTAATTGTCAAATTGTCAAATATGTGCTATATACAAATTGACATGTAGGTTGAAAAAGTATGGGTAAGGATAAACAAAAAAGTATAGACGTGTTCTTTAAAAAGAGCGTCATATACAATTTTAGGTATACAATTTTTTGATTATATTTTAAATTATTTATTAAATGTTATTATACATATAGTTATTATATTTGTGTATATTCATATCCTCAGGACTATGCTCAGTTCATTACTTATTATGCCGTGGGAGGAAAGTACAAATCTTATGTTTGAAATGCTCACCAAAAAAGTTAGTGTCTTTTTATATATTTGCTTTGATATAATATGCTAGAATTCATAGTAAACTTTTTCTTAATAAATTTATGTAATTACGATAAATATTTTAATAATTTAATATATCGAATTTTTTGGTCCTGGCTAAAATTTAATCTTGACTCCGCCATTGGTGAGTGCTCGGTTAAGAGGGAACATACCAATTTTGGGTTTTCACACTTGAGGTGGAGATTATTGGAATTTTCTAGTGTGATGAGTCTCACTTTGGTTGATAACGAGTTAAGTGAAGTATATATAAGTGGGGTTCCGTTGAACCCAATACCTTAATATTTTGGGTTATGATATGGTGTCCGACCCCTTTGATATGGATGGTCTGACTTAGCCTATTGGTGGTGGTTCCTTATCACGAGCTCCTCTGAACTTGCCTGACATGTCTCATATTCTGAATTAAAATGTAATAACCCCCGAAAAGACTAGTAAGGGAATGTCTCATAGTTTTTCACAATTTTTTTTTTATATATTCCTTCTATTGTTTAAGTTTTATTTTTTATGTTTTAGGTGTAATCACAGATTCGTAAGGACAACATGATGTGCTAAATAATTAAACTAGTATCACAAGCATCTTCATTATGATATAGTATAAAGAAACATTGTAAACTTAACACCGAACACAAATTCTACAGAGGAAATATAGGCGCTTCCAAAGAGCTATCTTAATAAAAACAAGAACTGACAAGCCACTTTTTTGTATATTTTTAATAACAAAAGCAACCTTGTGGCCTCTTGCAAAACCTCTGGGTGAAGTAACTTGTCAAAGCATGGACATCAAGGACCTGCAGAATTTGTACAGAATTTGCTAGAGTAAAATAACCAGTTAAATGTTTTCTAGTTTAACAATAATTCAGATATTACTATCAAAAGCGCAATGCTAACATCGATTTCAGGAATTAGCGCATGAGAATAGAAATATTATTCGTGCCTTCATTTATGACCATTTAAGTCATTACAATTAATGTAATTTGATGACTCAGAAACATGGAGTATTAGCATGCTAATTAAGTGAGTATGAAAGATACCTACAAAACAACGCACATACATATACAATGGAATATATATGTTGGTAAATAGACAGACGATATACTTCTAAGCTAAAGAGAGTAAAAGGCACTCACTTTCTGGATAATAGATATAGTATATTTGATTTGAACAATATAAATAAATATATAGAAAAATCAAACTCAATTTAAAGCTTAAAAAAATAGCTTCGATCTTTACTTACCACAGTTGCAATATCTTAGATTTCAATAAAGGGAATTCATCTTTTGAATCACCGTGGTATACAGTCGGTGAAGAAATCTGAAATAAGCATGCCTGCATCTCCTGTTGAATAATATAAGACCAAAAACTCCCCAAAATCCCGATGCAAATCCCATTCCCAAGCCCATATAGAACCATGAATATACTTCAGATTTATCATCATCATCATCATGATCTTCTCCCATCGGAGTTGTATTATGCGGTTTTTCATCTTGTGGGCAGACCTGGGTAAGTGGAGGTCCACATAATTCATTATTACCCATATAACTAAGGTTTGTGAAACCTTGAAGTTGGGTCCCCGATGGGATTTTGCCCATCAAATTATTGAAGGACAGGTTCAAGTAACCAAGAAAAGACAAACCAGACATGGCCTGTGGAATTTGTCCTGAGAGACGATTGCTTGAGAGATCAATGGACTCCAACGGTTTCATGTTTCCAATTTCATCTGGTATCGTCCCTACTAACCGATTATGGGACAAATTCATTAATTGTAATCTAGTCAGCATGAAAATCTCTGAAGGTACCGTTCCAGACAAATTATTGCTTGAGAAATCAATAGCATACATCAAATCACTATAAAGTAATTCATTGCCTTTTATGGGCATCGTAATACTAAAAATAAGCTGTACTGGGTAACTTGGTACTTGAACAATAATGCCGAACTCACCAAATGAAGCATGATCAGAAAGCATGGATGTGATGTTATGGAGGCAGTTGGGTATTGGTCCTGATAATGCATTGTTTGCAAAATCCATAACCATTAGTGAATTAAGTTGGCATATCTGTGTGGGGATATTGCCACTGAATTGGTTCGAGCTCAGTAGAAGAACTTTTGCGCTCCCCACCCAGCTTGGTATAGCTCCAGAGAAGTTATTTTCACCTAGATTAAGGATCCAAAGATTATTGCAATCTTTCAGTGACAAGGGTACTTCTCCAAAGAATTTATTTCCATATAAATCCAATGAAATGAGGTTAGACAAGGATCCCATGGAGTGAGGAATCATTCCTGTTAGGTTATTCTTCTCCAAACCAACATGACGCAATAATTTCCAGTCATTCCAACAATCTGTGAGTTCTCCAGATAAAAGATTCTTGCCCATTTCTAAGTACGTTAAACTACTTTCTCCTGCCATCTTATGACACAATAGAGGAGAAATGGATCCGGTCAAAGAGTTATTATATAAAGTCAAATCGGCCACTTTTGGTGATAATCGAGGCACGCCACCTCTCAAATTATTGGTATGCAACCAAACAAATGTCGAGTTTAGCAACACATTTGACATGTTGCCGTTGATTGTGTTGTTGCCTAGAGACAAAATTTCAAGTTGTGTAGCAAAGTTCCAAAACTTGTCAAGAGGTTCAAATGAAGCATTTGAGTCTGAAATGGTTAGAATTTTGAGAGAACTCTGTGTAAATAGCCATGAAGGAAGTTTGTCATTTACATATCCTAAATCAATACCTTTTAGTTGAAACGGAGGGACCCATTCAGGATCAAAATCAAAGATCAAGGCTGGCGAGCTCAAGAAAAGGTGCTTTAGATTTGAAAGAGATAGTAAATTTCTTTCAGACACAATTCCTGTCAAGGAATTATCACCAACTCGAAGGGTATCCAAGTTGAAGAGTTGCCCCAGACTTTCTGGAAGATTTCCATTCAAGTTATTTGAACAGAAATTCAGTACAATCAAGGATGATAGATTTCCTAAAATTGTGGGAATTGGACCAGAAAATGAATTATGAGAAAGATCAAGTTCTTGTAGTTGTTCAAGTTGCCCTATCCAATCTGGAATGGGTCCATCCAAATTATTATCAGACAAAACCAAGGATTTGATGCTTCTATGATTTGGCAATATTTGAGATAGTTGACCATGTATACTGTTTTGACTAAGGTCAATATGAGAGATGTGAGAACTGAGATTGAACAACCAACTAGGCAACTCGGATATAAAATGATTGTGAGCAAGATCTAAAACTTGAAGTGAAGTAAAATTAGCATACTGAAGAGATGGATGGATGTCTTCAAGTTGACAGCTCTGCAGGTGTAACTCTACAAGTGAAGGAAGCATGGCCACTGACTGAAGCCAATTAATTGCCTTGTGAAGATCAAGACCACCAAGGTTAAGATATTGCAAGGAGGAAAGACGGAAAATCCAATGGAGATTAGGAATGAGAATATCATAATTATATGATAAATCAAGATAATGGAGGTTGGAGGAGTTTCTACATTGATGGGGAGGTGTACCTCTTGACAAGTTATCACATGAGTTCTGGCTACCGATTGAGTTATATTGGATAGCCTTGAAATCATTGTTGCTCAAATTCAAGTAGCTTAGAAATTCAAGTTCCAATAAAGATTGAATATTGAACTCACCTGTTAGGCAGTGTGATTTGTCGTCGTCCTCATGTCCATAAACAAAGACTATAGATTGATTTGTATGACAAGGGAGATTGAGTTCTGTAACTCTGCCTGTGATATTGTCACACTGAACTCCTGTCCAGTGACAACAATCTTGTTCAGTGAACCAAGAGGAAAGCATGCCTGAAGGATCTATGACTCCTTGTTTGAAGTGTAGGAGTGTGTTCATGTCTTTCTCGTTGCAGTGAACTTTCGAACTGCACGTAACTGAGTTGAACATGATTATACATACCAAGCAAAGCAAAGCAAATCTAATATTGGAGGGAGAGGAATCCATGATCATGCAAGAAGATGGGTCGAGGATGTGAAGGCATTACCATCCACCGGAAGTATTTATAATTATATGATTGCAGTAAGTCTGCCATGCAGTAAGTCTACCATAAATGGGGACATCCTGGGAAATTCAATGGTCGTGGGACAACATTACATTACAATCCTTAACTGAATAAAATGTCCACATTTATTTTTATATAAAGTAAAGATCAAAGTTTAAAAAAATGGAGACTTAAAAAGTTTAGCATCTTATGTATTGGTTAAGATAGTTAAACTTCTTTATTGATTTGGTATACAAGATTTGGCAGAGTGTGTGTAAAGAAATTTTACACCCATCAAAATTAAATTATTTTTAAAATCTTAATATAAACCTGAATGTAAAGTTACTATATGAAAAAAAAATTCAAACTAGTAAGTTGTGAACTTCTGTATTTTATTGTTTCTTCTTGATTTATAACTTGAACTTTCAGGATTTTTTTTATTTATGTATCGAGAACGATATTATATTTCTCAGCCTTTTTAACTATCACAGTTATGGCCATAATTATTGTAACTTAAATACGTCCCGATTAGATTAGATTCATAATGGTATATTCACTGTTTCATAGATTCACTGTTTCCGCATTTGTGCTTTGTATTTTATTCGTTTTACTCTGGAAATAAAATTAATTAAGCAACTTTTGTGGACTCGTCAAAGTATTTCATTTCCCTCAAATGAATATTACCTCCCGAAAACTGGCCATGATTAATACTTGGGTTTGATTAAAAAAAAAAAAAAAGTTGTATTTACAAACCTTTTTTTGTTTATGAATTGGCTCTAATGTTTCTACAGTGAATGTAGATAAGTTATTTAAGTTCGCTTTCCAAACGACGTCGTTTTTTATTAAAAAATTATATTGAAAAAGACTACTATAACTCTGAAATAAATTATAATTACAAAAATACTTTGATTTTCGTCTTAAAACAACGTCGTTTTAGACTCAATGTAGATAGCGAATCCTTTTAAATTTAAGGGATAACTTCATTTTCACCCACTGTAGTTTTGTGATTTATCATTTGACCCCTTGTGGTTTTAAACTTATCAGTTAGACCTATTGTGCTGAGATATTTTGTCATTCAACCCCTATGGTTTCAAATTTTCACTTAGACCCTTTGTGGTTACAAAAAAATTCACTTAAAAAGAAACCTTGTGGTTTAAAAAATAAATATTTTAAAAAATAAATTTTTTCTCTTTTATTTTAAATCCTCATGTAGTAAATGCATTTACGGTTTAAAAAATATTTCAAGTTATTTATTCTGAAATTAATTTAAAAATTATCTTAATTTTTTTAAAATATATTTGAAATTAAAAAATATTATTTAAGATAAATTAAATATATACTATCAAAATAAGATATTTATTTTCTTTAGGTAATTTTATAACGATATCAGGTAAAAAATAAATAAAATAAAGTAATATTTGATTTGAATTTATTTTCTTGATAAAAATTAGTGAATTTTTGAAACCTTAAATGCATTAGGTGAGGATATAAAAAAAAGAGACGGAACATTTATTTTAAATATTTATTTTTTAAAAATTTTATATTTGTATCCACAAAGGATTTAAGTAAAAAAAATTTCTAACCACAAGGTGTTTAAGTGAAAGTTTGAAACCACGAGGGGTTAAATGAAAAATTATTTAAGCAGAATAGGTCTAAGCGATAAGTTTAAAACCACAGGGGATCAAATGATAAATCACAAAATCACAATGAGTGAAAATGAAGTTTTTCTTAAAAAATTTGTAAAGATAACATTTTTCTAAAAAAAAAGAAGGAAACAAGTGGGGTTTTTTTTTCTTTCTTTTTTTTAAACGCAAAAAGAAGAGTTCTTCAAGTTGCATATGTCGTTTCCATGTACAGCAACAGCGCTCAAAGAAAAAGAATAAAACTTAAGGGTTGATTCGTACTGGTTAGGATAATTAGTCTTGAGTTTTATTTGGACAACTTTTTCTTTTTTTGTATAAAAAAATAGTGTTATCTTCCAAACTAATAAGTGTTCTAAAATGCGGGGGCACAAAATCAATTAAATTAAATTCAACAATTGGAGTCTATTGTGTTTCTTGTTGACGCAGAATCATATATCTCACAAAAAAGGAATCAATGGATTTCTCTAATGGGACAACAATTCGTCCCTTTTAAATTTCGTTTAAATATAATTTTATCTTTATAAATGGCTTTTATTTTTAATTTGATTGTTATAAAAGAAAGTTTGTAATTTGATCCATATATATTTTTATTTTAATCATTTTCATCTACTTTTAATTATAATATTGTATGTTAAATTTATAATACTATATAAAATTTAAGGATAAAACTAAAAACGAGTATCATGTATAGAGACAAAAAAATAGTATATTTAGTTTCTACCTATGTGGTTCTTATTTCTAAATTTGATACCTATATTTTATTGTAATTTAAATTTAATTTAATCATGTTATTAAAGTTAATGCGGTACTCCTATCCATAAACATCACTATGTGGTGGGTTGATAATCCTAATTTTTATTTTATTTTTTTTAATATTCCTACTTGTTTAAGTTGATTTTTATGTTTTACATATAATTAAAACTCTTAGGTGCAGCTTGATTTGGAGTTTTGTTATAAAAAAATCTTATTATGTTGTTTAAACTTTTGTTTCAACAACTTATAAGGTGTTCGTTCGGTTATGCATTTGTGCATCAAAACTAACTAATATCGCATGTCAAATGTGATTTTATGATTAGTAATTATATTGGTAAATTTCACTTCAATGCTTTCATTATAATTTTTCCTCTAAACTTGGGTTTAGGTAAAGGCAAGAATTTATTGTTTTTGTAATAGACATTTTTATCCTTTTACATATTTAATAATATTTTGAAAAAAAAACAATATAACATGTATAGCTTTTAGGCAATCATTCATTTAAAAGTGATTTTTACTAATATTATGTAAATGATATTTATTCTGTCAAAATTACTTTTAGGAAAAAATATCTAAATATAAATCACTTAATTTTACAGTTATGTTGACCTAAAATTAATTTTTTTAAATCAAAATAATCTAAATTTGAATTTACAAACGATGATTCAAACACACAGTGACGTTCGTAGTGGTCGTGTTCAATTAAACTTTGATTGAACTTTTACTTTCCATAAATACTTGACTTACCAAGCCAGTGGTGATTAAATTTCTTAGACAGTGTGACCGAAGTAAGGCCAAGTGGGTGCATGTGTATGTATGAAGTTAATCGATGAAAATGTGAAAGGAAACAACTGAGAACCCTTTTTTGTTTTCAAAAAAAGAAAAAGAAAAGAAGAAACAACTGAGAAAAGGATGATGTGCTACTATTGTAAATTATCTTTTCCCCCGTGTTGCACGTTGATGCTTTTTTTGGATGTTTTTTGTTATAACTTTAAACTTTGTCCGTAGCAATTGCAATTGCTAGTAAGATGTAGGTAGAGAACATCTTTTTGCAACAAATATATTATTGATTCTCTTTATGTCACCTATAAGCTTTCTAGTATGCAACATTTGGGACACAAAAGTAGGGATGTTATGGTCATCTGCTCTGAAAAGAAATTAATTAAAATCATAGTGGACGACTTAAAATCATAGCACTTACCAAGTCTAATTGTTCCTTTAACAATTAATTCCACGCGCATTTTGCTTTCGAGCAATAATTAAATAAAAAGAGGACAACTTTCCGCGTTTAAATAATTAAATAATAGCTCTTTCCGCGTTTAAACACATCCACATAGAGTCATCCTTTTTATTAAAAGAAGTATTTTTTAATTAGTATCTCTTGTTTTCTTGTTCCTTTCCATCAGTGTGATTTGAGATTGTATGGAAACTTATCTTCGTTGATGACAACTTTATATCTTGAATCCTTTAATTATTTTACCAATATTCCATGTGGACAGTAATTTTCTTATTCTAAAGTTTATGGGGGAAATCCTTCTTTCTCGTAAATTTCCTCGTGTTTTCTGTCACAAAATTAGTTGTTCATTTTATATTTCCATATATACAATCAAAGGTTACCTGACTATATACTGGTGAAAATGGGCTGAGCTGAATCGAGCTTTGTTTCGAAAAGTCCAAGCCTATGTCAGAAATTTTTAATTTGGCTTGGCTCAAGCATAGTACGAGTCTAACTGTTAGTCTGTCTTGGCCCATTTATAAAAAAATAAATGTCCTGCCTTGGCCCATTAGCCTGTTAATTTTAACTTACAAGCAGAACCCTGAATCAACCTCACAAAATACTCAAATTCTGTTGCTAAAACAAAAATTACAATTTCAACGTCCAAACAAGACCATGAATCACAACAAAACTCATCACAATATGCATTTAAGTCACTCTCAAAAGCAAAATGCTCAAACTAAATAACATATATTTCATCAGATCTATCAAACAAATCTATACTATGTAAATTAAAATAACTACGTGAATCTAACAAACACATTATGATGCTTGTAATAGCCAAAAATTTCTCTTCGTCTTCTTTCCCCTACAAATACAATTCCAAGATTACATAAGTTGACAAATAATTTCTAAACGTAGAAAATAAAAAACAAGAATAACTAATAGAAATAAAAAATATTTTAATAGATTCATGTAGGCAATTCCACATGCTGAGATGTTGTTCCTCCTACATAAAAATAAAGTCAAATTTTATTAAAATTTAATCGAATATAATCAAATTATAAAATGATTTCAATTGATTAAATTTATAATTTTTGTTTTTTCTTCAAGTCATACCTATTACGTAGCCAATCTCTGCCGTATATTAAAGCTTGAATGGTATCTTCAACCAAGCTAAAATGATAGGCATCAATAACTCATCATCCAATACTAAATATTGATTCTGATGGTACTGTAGAGATTGGTACAAATCTTATGTCACTCTCAAAGATAACATTGGTGAGGGAAAGAA